CAATAGTCAAAAAATTAATAACAGGCTCTAGTTGAAATTCATATTTCATACACCGTACGCTACTCTGGTTCTAAATCTACAGTTGCCATATGCTTTTTATCAATGATATCGCATTTTATTAGCACGTACTTTGTAATAAAAATAGTTAATTAAGATGCACAATAAAAATGTGTCTTCGAGTTTTTCTGTATTCATTTTCATAATAGCAAATCTCAACATTGGGATTGTGATGCATGCAAATGTATTATACTTCCATATTTTGGCCTGAAACATCCAGAGATGTAAGTGGACGATTTTACATTAGTAACTGAAAATAGAAGATTAGTTGTATATACTGCTGATAAGATGTGTGTCTGCATCCACATAAAGGTGACTGAAATTATATTCATTGAGATAAAAGGTTGGGGACATGACTGTGAGAGATGGGACGATTGCCCAAAAAGGGAAGAAGGCTAATAAGAGATTAGGGTTCAGTCAGGTTTCCATGCTCGTATAACTTCATTACTCCCTCTCTTTAATTAAAGCTTGCTTCTTTACCCTCTAGCTATCTATCTATTTATTACCACACCCATTATTCATGCAACCACTACTTTATACTTAATATATATAACCATTTTCATATATCCCTCTTTTTCTTGTCGTGTACCAAATTTTCGTGTGCCTAATTTTAGCATGGCTTATTCTATTTGATATTTATTGATGACTAATTTGCTTTGGGTTATGAAGGAGGGGCGCTTAGATTTTAAAGTTAATGGCTGAATCCTGTAGAGATTTTACATTATAGTACTATAATTATAGCTTTGAGGAAAATAATTGCTGTAACCTTATTGGATATTACAAAAGTAATAGACAATTTAGGTATCAAGTACATGACTTAAATCATAACAGCCTATTCAAATTGAGCTTGGACTGTGGAGAACATGATCAATTGATCATTAGTACATTTGCATGTCGTGCACGGGATAGGTAGTTGCATTTCAATTCATGACCAAATAATAATCGGTCCAACACCAATACATCTATAAAAATGATTTACAAATTAACAAATTTGATCATAATGTACAACCGATCTATATATATATATATATATGTACAGTGGCAACAGTCTGCTAAATAAAACAACTTAATATGAAACTACATACAAATTATGGTTTAAGTGTTTTCTCAAAAAAAAAAAAAAAAAAAGGTTTAATTGTGTGTATGATATGTTACCGTATACATAAAAGTTTATAGCTAATTAAGTGGAAGGTATATTTTACAATTTCCTTCGAGTTTTTTTTCCTAATTAGAAAAAGAAGCAAATTAAGTCAAAAGGAAAGTCTACCAAACCCACTTGAGTTTAATAGAAACACACAAAGCTAAGAAGCATCACAGTTCACATCACACGTAGAGAGCTCTCTACTCATTAACTCACAACTCGCAGCTTCTACTCTTCCTTTTCAGGAAACCCTATCGAGCTTTCTGATTTGACTTACTATTGCCCTTTATTATTAGTTATTGTCCCTAATCACTTTCCCTTAGGTGTTTTCAGTTTAGACAACACATCATTACTTGATCTTTCTCGTACCACTTGTGAAAACTTAATCCATACTCACCTTTATCTTCCGCCTCCATTTTCGTTTTACTTTATATATGTTTTGTAGTTAGAACAGATTCTGATTCAGTTGATAGACTGAAGTAGACGGAGAAACATTCAAAGACATACATGGAGTTTTGACAATCATGTGGTGGATTTTTTTCTTTTAAACGCATATTTCCTAACCTTAATTGCAGGAAATTTGGTTAAGCGCCAACACATCCGAATACAAACAATCTATACATTACTAAAAAGGAATATATACATTTAGCCTATTTTACGTGTTATATTGTACTATATGCCATTGTAAAATATATCTTGAAATATCAAACAAAAAGTTATTGGGGGTAAAATTTTCAAAAAATTACAATTTGTTTCCACTTTCTACTTTATCTTTCAAATTTCTTCTGTTATGTGATAAGTTTCAAACCAATTTTATAAATACAAAATGTTAAATTAATAGCCAATGCAAATGATTATATTCTCCAAAAAATAGAAATTTATCCAACTCCAATATATTCTGTATGAGTACATAAGAATTGTATAAAATATAGTCCAAAAAGATCTAATGAAAAATGATACTTTGAATTATATAACTATAATGAAAATATGATTAACCAGGAATAATCAAATTTGAAAACGAGTAAGAAGCAATGGTTCTGTCCTCTTATTTTTATTTCACGAACCAGAAAAATCCACAAATCAAAAATCTTAATGTATATATTTCTCTAGAAGGCTGCTGGTCCTTCACATCTCCACTGTGACACTAATTTCAGGCCTGGTTTTGAGAGTAGAACTTATCAACATGATCCAGCATCTTCTTTTTTCACAGCACGAAATGTAGATAGGGGTAAAAGAACCTCTTCAGCTTTCTTTGGAACTGAGAAATCAGGTAAAGCTGGTTTGAGCGAGGAAGCTAGTCCTTCAAATCTCCACGGCGACAGGCCTGGTTGTGTGAGTGGATCCAACGCCATGAGCGTGTCCTTCAACTTTGGCTGTCCACAAGATAGCTCCACAAGAGATAGTGCTCTGTTTTTCAAAAACAATTTGCTTTGTTTCTTGTAGCTAAGGCTGTAAACAATACTTTTTTTGAATAAAGTTTACTTATTATTCAAAAAAAAATATTATTAACATTAGTTAAAAAAATAATCATAATACGAAGAGTGTGTGGAAAGATATTTGGATATTTAAAACGAATATCTATTGTCTAAAATAAATAAATCATGTTTTCAAATATTAAAAATAATATTACTACAAAATTGGAATTTAAACATAAAGTAAAGTTGATGTTTTATTTAGAGAACATACTTAATTATACTGTTAACATGGGATATCATCCGAAGTGTGAAAACTTGCGCCTCACGCATCTGATTTTTGCGGACGACATCCTAGTGTTTTTCGATGGCAATACTCAATCTATAGAAAGCATTCTTGAAGTCTTTGGAAGCTTTGTTGCGGGGGTTGATGATGCAGTGCGACAAGAGTTCCAGGTTCAGAAGAGTTTGACGGTTGGTGAGCTCCTTGTTCGCTACTTGGGACTGTCTCTCCTCTCCAAAACAATGGGAAAGAACGATTATCAGCCACTCATATAGAAAATTAAAAAAAAACACGTATAAGCCTCTGAACAAACAGATTTCTATCAATGGTGGGTTGCTTACAGCTTATCAAATCGGTTCTACACAAACTTCTGGATATCATCATTTTATCTACCTAGTGAATGCTTGAAGGAGATAGACAGTATATATGCCCATCGTTTATTTGGGACCTAGTAACAACTCAAAAATCAGAGGGAGGATTTGGTTTACACCCGTTGAAGGAGATCAATTAATGTCACATGATGTCTGAAGCTTATCTGGCGGTTCACCTCATCCTTCTCTCTTTGGGCACGTTGGGTTAAGGAAAACCTGCTAAAGGGAGGTACTTTTTGGGAAGTTCGGAGCATGGCAACTTTGGAAACATAGATGTGGAGGAAACTTCTAAAATATAAAGATAAAGCAAAGGAGTTTCATCCGGCTTCAAACTTCCTTCTGGTTTGATGCTTGGTCAGACATGGTATATGCCTATTGGACTTGGTAGGAGATATGTCACATTGACATGGGAATCTCTTTGAAAGCAACTGTATCGTTGGTTTGTTGATACTTTTTTCTTTTTTCGGTAACAAAAATGGTTTAAGTTTTTAATAAAAAATCAAATTTTTCGCTAAAAATACAAAATCTTGTAAAATCGAGTATTTTCCACCAAAAAGCGAAGTGGAGCTTTCCTCCATAAATTAAGTATAAATTTATCGATTATTGATTTTTTTGCCCAATTAACACATTTTAGCTTTAAAAAAAAACAGAAGTAGGAATTTATATATTTAAACAAATAAATATTTTTGTAGAAGCCGTTTGACTAAGTGTTCATTAATATTTCTACACCAGCAAGTCTGAGTTTCAAACCACAGACAAAAAAGTATGGGTTAATTTTCTTGCTAAAATTACCGGGCCTCAAATTATCGTAGTCCAGATGGTACCTAGGGCAATTATTGGGTATATTATATAAACACACGACCAAGGCAATAGAGAAACTTGGAGTAAAACCCTAATTTTTCAAAATGATGAGCGATGAATTGGTTGGGGAGAAGATAGTTCCGATAACATCACCGAAGAAGGCGGCAACAGTTGTTTCTGACGATGAATGCGAAGGTCTACTCTCTGGAGATGTTCGAAGAAGATTTTGTTGATGTCTCGGTAAAGCAGGTAGATTTGCTCAAAGACTTGGAAGTATCAAAGTTATATCACTGCGATGGGTTAGTGTTATGCGTTGCTAAGGACAACTCGAAGCTGGTGTTGTGGAACCCTCATCTGTGTCAAACAAGGTGTATCGAACCGAGAGAAAATAATTTCAAAATAAAAGACAGGTACGCAATCGGATACGACGACTTAGATGACTCGGGGGTGCGCAACCACAAAATCCTGAGGTTTGTGGATGAATACACTCTTATACCAGAACGTAAACGCGAGGTGGTGTGTGAAATTTATGACATTAGGTCTAATTCATGGAGGGTTCTCGATGTGGTTGAGAATCCCGAGTGGTCGATGGAGAGGAGTGAGCGAGGCGTGTCTGTCAAGGGAAACACCTACTTTTTTGCACGTCATTTAATAGAAAACTATGATAGATATGGTGGAAGCAAAGAGGATATTTTCGTACTATGTTTTGATTTTACCAAAGAGAGGTTTGGACCACGCCTGCCTCTTCCTTTTGATGAGTCTTCTTACAGTGGTTTCAATGGTGACCTTGTGACCCTCTCAAGCTGCTTCCTTAGAAGAGGTGGTGGTGATGATGATGAGAAGCTTGCGGTTCTGGTTGGTGGTCATGAATCTGGCTTTTTTGAGATTTGGGTTTCCCTTACTGTTGACCCCAACCATGTGTCCTGGAGCAAGTTTTTGCGAATGGAACCGGGGCCCTTCGCGGGCTACGGTTTTAAGCTCTATGCCTCAGTTTCTGGTGGGAGCTTCTTTGTTGATGAGGAAAACAAAGTTGCTGTCTTGTTTGAACTGATGGGACTAAGCAGAAATAAGACTACTCACGGGGCTTTTGTGTTTGGACAAGACGGCTCCTTCAAATCCGTCAAACTTGGAGAAGCTCTCATACTCGAAACCCGTTGCCCCATCACCAACAACATCCGTAAAGGTGCTCGTCCCCCACTTGTTTGCTCTTCCTTTTATCGTCCAAGCTTAGTGCAAGTCGAGCAACCGAGTCTTGTGCACAAAAGGAAACGCATGTCTCCATCTGCTGCTCAGAGATCAAGTGTAAGTTTATTACAATATATTCCTGCTGTTTGAGATTTGCCATGTGTTATTATACACACCTATTCTTACAGAAACCACCGAATATGTTTGATTTTTTCACAATTTTACAGGTTAAATTGAGTAAACGCATGTCTCCACCTTCTCAGTGAGATCAAGTGTAAGTTTTATTATATAAGATTCCTTCTTGGAATTATTCAATTGGCATCCTATTCTTACAGAAACTGAATGTTTGATTTTCACAATTTTACAGGTTAAATTTGAGGAATGTTAATCTGACCAAGTTTGACATGTGTGAAATTCTTTGCTTTTGTTTTATCTTGGTTGTGATCACAGTCCGTCTATGTAATCTCTTTTTATCTTTTGTCTCAAGACTGTTCTATCGATCTCTACGTTGTCAGACTTGTTTCTGAGATTATTATTTTATGCTTACGTTTAAGCTCTTGTGTTTTTGACATTACCCTTATGTTTTCATTGTCTATCTTGTGTTTATGCTCGTGTTTAACCTTCTTTTGTTTTTCATAGTCATATCAATATATTCCAAGCTATTTCTGTTAAGAGTTGTTATAAAATATCAAAATTTGGGAGACAGAATATCAAAAGAAGGAAGAAAAATACAGAAAATGTCATTGTTGTGTTCATGAGTTCAATGTTACTCACACATTAACACTACAATAAGGCCGAAGAGTTTTCTTTTATTTTTGTTTCATGATGTGTCTGGTGGCAAAACAAATGATTGTTTCGGAGAAAATCATTTGATGAAATATTTAAAGATTGAACAAATCATTGGACCGAATATAACCAGATTTTAAACCAATACAGTGGAGTAAGGAACGTGATGACGTTTTAACAATTTTAGCATAAAACGCTTGCCGTTTATGTCAAAGCGCTAAAACCCCCTGAGAACCTCATCCTCTCGCAGTTACCTTCCCAACTAAGAGTAAGACCTCCTCTTTCAGGTAGGTTGGAGAGACAGCTTAAACCCCCAAAAAATCTCCATCAAAATTCGCTTCTCTGGACTTGACGCTTCTTCCGTCTATATGGGTTGCAGAGTTTAGTACTCTCAGTACAACAAGTTCGTTTTTTACTCCGTAAAAGTTAATCTCTCATGGCGTTTCTCTCCTTCACCCAATTCCTACCATTCCCCAGGTCTCTCTTTCTAACCCTTTACAATTCTCTTTTCATGGGTGCCCAGAATTGTGATAAAAAGTTTTGTGCTTTATGGTTCTGTATCGCAGAATTACTTGTGTTCTGTTTTCTTGGTGCCCAGAAATGTGATTAAAGTTTTGTGCTTTATGGTTTTTTTTTGCTCATTAGATGCAGTGTAGATGATGTTGTTCCTTGTCTCCAGTCACTGGGCTTTGTTAAGTTTCGAGGTGAAAGATTTAACGGGAGACAAAGCTTTTTGGTGGTTGCTGGTAGGAGAAAGTTATCAGAGTCTGCACCTCTTGGAGAAGATGATAGTGGAAACGGAGCTGTTGGGGGAAAGAAACCAACCAAAGCTCCTAAGAGAACAACGAAGAAGAAGAAGATAGTAGCAAAGGATGAACCTTTAGATGAAAGCTCTCAGCTTTTAGTAGATAATAATGATGTTTCAGACACAAAGGAGGAGGAGCCACGGAGAACTAGAAAGAAAGGTAATAATGACTTTTTATTATTTTTTCTCTGTTTGATGATTTTGCTCAAATGTTACAGTCTTTACAGCTTCTTCTGATGTGGAGGAAGGAAAAACCGAGAAGAAAGTGAGAAGAAAGAGGGCTACTAAGAAAGATAAAGAAGTAGAGGAAGGTTTAGTTACTAGTAGTAGTATAGATGATGCTGAGGTTAGTGATGTGGAGGAAGCTTTGATAGTTGAAGGCATTGATGTTGACAGTGAAGGAGAAGAGATTGATCTGAGCAAACATGAAAGTGAGGATATTAGTCACACATACGGATGGCCTCCTCTGGTGTGTTGCTTTGGATCTGCACAACATGCTTTTGTGCCATCAGGAAGGCCAGCAAACAGGCTTTTGGATTACGAACGTCAGGAACGGATGAAAGATGCGGTGTGGGCTCCGGAGAAGTATATCAGAGCTCCTGGAGGATGTGCAGGAGGTGTTGCTATTGCTCTTGCAAGCTTGGGTGGTAATGTTGCCTTTATGGGGAAATTGGGAGATGATGACTTTGGTCAAGCTATGTTGTATTACTTGAATGTGTGCAAAGTCCAAACGAGATCAGTCAAGATTGATAGTAAAAGGGTCACTGCGTGTTCGTCTATGAAGATTAGTAAGAGAGGTCGCTTGAAATCGACTTGTGTCAAACCCTGTGCTGAGGATTCACTTTCAAAATCTGAAATCAACGTTGATGTCCTCAAAGAGGTAAGTGAATATTGAGCATTGAGTTATGAGTTAACTCCTTTTCTTATTCTTAACTTTGGTGCAGGCGAAAATGTTCTACTTCACAACGCATTCACTGCTGGATAAGAAGATGATGTCGACAACATTACAAACCATAAAGATATCAAAGCAACTAGGGAATGTCATTTTCTATGACTTGAACCTCCCCTTACCGCTATGGCAATCTCGGGAAGAAACCAAGAGTCTCATACAAGAAGTGTGGGATCTTGCAGACGTCATTGAAGTCACTAAACAGGAACTTGAGTTCTTATGTGGAATCGAGCCAACTGAAGAGTTTGATACAAAAAACAATGACAGCAGTAAGTTTGTACACTACGAGCCGGAAACAGTGGAGCCTCTCTGGCAAGAAAATCTCAAGGTTTTGTTTGTGACCAACGGCACTTCTAAGATACATTACTACACCAAAGAGCACAATGGTGCTGTTCTTGGAATGGAGGATGTTCCCATTACTCCTTTCACTAGGGATATGTCAGCATCTGGAGATGGGATTGTTGCAGGTAGTACATTCTCGCTATTCTGTGTATTTTGTGTGTTTCATAGGTATTGGAACTGTACTAACACTCTGTTTCAGGTCTGATAAGAATGCTTACGATTCAGCCAGATCTTCTGAATGACAAAGGCTACTTGGAACGGGCAGCAAGATATGCAATTGAGTGTGGAGTTGTTGATCAATGGTTGCTGGCACAAACTAGAGGATATCCTCCAAAGGATGATGATGACATTGAAGAAGAAGAAGAAGATGAAGAGGATGAAATGGAATCAGATCCAAATGGTATAAGATCGATAACAGAGAGGGAATACCGAACCTCAAAGGCTTATGATGAACCAGATGGTCCATACGTTATGAAACCAGTAGAGGAAAGGGAGTACCGGAAGCTAGAGCTTGTTGGTTCAATGGGTGAAGATGATGATGATAGTTCTTGATACTAATAAAGTTTTAGATTCTTTTTTTGTTTGTTTGTTAGTTCTTTTCCTTGTTTACATCTTACAACAAACTCTGTAGAGTGTAAACTTTCATATGTTTCAAATATCTCACTCCTTTATCTCAACTCATTCAAAATGTAAATAAGAACTAAACGAAAACCAAACAAAAACCGGAAGCAAACCAAACCAAACCAAGTTTGGAGTTCCGAAGAAGAAATAAATAATAAAAGACCTAGACTTTGTTCTTCTTCGGAATAAATAATGCTTTTTTCCTTATTTGTTTCTCTGCTCCTACTTCTCAAAATCAAAGCAGAATCCGTCACCTCTCTTACCTCATTCACAATTCTCTCTTTTTCTACTCTCCTTCGTTCCATCGTTCTCAGCCAGCCGCCTGGTCTCTGAATCCGAATTCAGATTTCTTCAATCTGATCGAAAAGAGTTAGCTTTTTTTTTTTTTAATTTCTAGGGTTTGACCGAGGAAGGTGGTGTTGTTCAATTGCCTTGAAATCTTTGTTCACTTCGATCCTTCCATTCGTGGGTAGCTTTCAAAATCTCTTTTTTCCGTTCATTTTCCGCGATTAGGGTTTCTAGGGCTACTGAATAGTTATCAATTTCACTTTGTTTTGAGATGTTACCTTACGATTAACAAGTGATTGTGATGATACTGAGAAATTAGACGCAATTAAGATGAATATATATGATAAAGGATGTTACTATGAATAGATGTTAAAAGAGGGTTTTGTGGAAATTAAATCTGGTCTAGGTTGTAGTTGGTACTGATATGTTATTGCTCTCTCCCTCTCTCTGTGTGTATAGGTGATATGGATTCTCTGCAACTGCAACTCTGACTACTACTACTCAAAACGTGGATACAAGTTTCTCTTTATCAGCAGGCAATGGGAGAGCAACGTCAGATAAGATCACGTTTGTCCAATGGAATGCCAACGAAGAGATGCACTGCAAATGGCGTAATGAACGAGTTTATTGTGGTGGATGATGATGAGGTCATCATTCTTGATTTTCCCGAGTCGTCATCATCCAAAGGCAAAGCCCCTGGAACTTCAAGAACAAGGAACCAGCCCGTTTTGCAGAGAGTGATTAGCATTGACGACGACGATGATGATGATGATACAGAGAATGTTCACAAAGATGGGAGTAGTTCAAGTGGTAACTCTAATCCTGCTAACTTGCAAACATCTGTACATGATGATGATGATGATGATTGCCAGTTCGTTCAAGAAAAGCGTGCTTCTGCGTTTAGATTTTCAAAATGCAACAATAAGGCTTTCTCTACAATGCCATCCTCTTCTGGAACTCGGTTTGGTTTAGATACTGATTCGGACTCTGATTTTTCAGAGAGTGACTGTTCTGATTGTGAGATTTTAGAAGGTTCTCAAGGAGAGGTACGCGAGCAGTGGGAGAAAGCTTTTTTGGAGAAAAGGAAGAAAGCTGGTCTGAGTGAGGAGGCTGCTGGTCCTTCACATCTCCACTGTGACACTAATTTCAGGCCTGTTTTTGGTTTTGGTTTTGGTTTTGAGAGTACAACTTATCAACGTAATCCAACATCTTCCTTTTTCACAGCACGAAATGGAGAAAGGGGTAAAAAAGCCTCTTCAGCTTTCTTTGGAACAGAGAAATCAGGTAAAGCTGGTCTGAGCGAGGAAGCTGGTCCTTCAAATCTCCACGGCGACAGTAATTTCATGTCTGGTTTTGAGAGTAGAACTTATCAACATGATCAACCATCTTCCTTTGCTTCAAGAAATGCAGATAACACTAAAGAGAGGTCTTCAACTTTCTTTGGAGCCGAGAAGTCAGGTAAAACTGGTCGGAGTGAAGAGGCTGGTCTTTCAGATCTCCACTGTGGAAATAGGACAGAACAACATGATCAAGCATCTTCCTTCTTTACTGCAAGAAATCCAGATGGTCGGAAAGACACCTCTTCTACTTTATCTGGTTCAGAAGTGGAGAGAGACAACCTAGCTGAAAAATGTGCTAATTCAAGGTTTTTCAGTAAAGAGGGTTTTGCAGAGCCTTCGTCACCGTCACCCGAAATACAAATTGAACATGAAAGGTCAAATTCAGCTACAACTGATTCTACATCGTCAAAAGAACAGAGAAAACAGAATAGTTTCAAAGAAGTTGAGAAACAGCCAGACACAGTGCCAGTGCAGTGTGACACTTCTCAGTGTCCCAAAGAGAATCAAAAGAAAAGGACAGCAGAAAAATTGTATACCAAGGAAGTTGTACAGGAAGAAGACGCCTCAAAATCGTCTCCGCCAAGCACTTCTGATGGGGTTGGCGATACGCCACCTGTGGGTGGCGTAAGTAATGGAGCCAGAAGTGAGCGTGGTGGGATAGGTGAATCAAGGGAACCGATCATTGATCCTATCCCATCTACTAGTGAACAAGTGCAAGGTACAGCTCCTGCAGTTGATGTCATGCTTAACAGAGAAATGTTGAAAGAGACAGATGAATACAAGAAAGCACAAGAAGAAGAATGGGAGTCAAGGCAACGGCAGTTACAGCTTCAGGTTTAACCACATACACTGCTTAAAATTTTAGGAAAGCTCCCTTTTAAATATTCGAAGCATTGTGTAACTAATTGCAGGCAGAAGAAGCTCAGAGGCAACGTAAGAGAAGAAAGTTAGCAAACACGCGACAATTGGAGATGGAAAGAAGACAAAAGGAGAGGGTAGAGGAAGTGAGAGAGACACAGAAGAAGGTTTTACACTCTTTCCTCATCGTCGCTCATGATTCTTTGGGTTAATTGGCTAACACAGACGTTGGGGTTTTCATCTTTAAAAAATGACAGGATGAAGAAAGCATGAACATGAAGGAGAAAGTCCGTGCAGAAATAACCAAATCACTTAAAGTTCTTGAACTCAAATGCATTAACATGGCATCGTTGCTTAGAGGTTTGGGGATTCCGGTTAATGGTGGAATATCTCCTCCGCCACAAGAGGTTTGCCATCTCCCTACACTAGGCTCTACATTTGTAATTAATTCATATGTATACGTTTGATGGAAACCAATTTTTGAAATTAGGTACATGCAGCTTACAAACGAGCTTTACTGAAATTTCATCCGGACAGAGCTTCAGGAGGTGACATTAAACAGCAAGTCGAAGCAGAAGAAAAATTTAAGCTCATTGCTCGGATGAAGGACAAATTTTTATTGTAACATTGACCAAAGAAGCTTTTTATAAAATCACTTGTTTTTTTTTTTTTTGAAATTCTAGGAATGATGATTCCCTGTAAATCAGTTTCTTCTTTAAAAGAAAATGTATCCAACAAAAAAACCAAATTATTGGTTTAAAGAGTAGAACACCAAGAATTGATTGGTATTATTATTTAACGCCTTACTCTTCCTATGCCAAGTTGTCCAGATTTGGCAGCACGTTCTTGTTTTTGAAGGAAGGCCCAGGTTTTTGCCATGTTTCTCAAAGCTTTTTCTTAACCTCGCTCATGAGGTAGCTGTGTTTTCGCAGCTCACGCACTGTTCCCATCATTTTCCTGTTTCAGCTTTTTCGTTGACTTTTTGAGGTGGGAAGGGTGTTTGTCTGGATCGTAATCCCTGCCTTTGATAAATTAAGCTGCACAACGAACATATATGCAACACGTTTGTAACGATCATCCCAGTGTGGTCTCTGCAAGTATAACTCAGATTCTGAATGGTTTGCTTCTCCTGCGTCGCTTGCATTTCCTGGAATGGCATCTCCTCATACATAACACCTGCGGATCAAGAAATTACATAATGAAACAAAACACCAAATCAAGACCAGTTGGCTGTAACGTATACGTACGCTCTGTGGTAGGCTAAATACTTAGCAAACCCTTTCTTGCCAACCGTTTCACTCTTCAAAGTACCGCCGCTTGCATCACTGCCACCTTCGGTCTGTGTTTCAGATATGCTATTCAACTTCGTTTTGTGCTCATATCGAAACTGATGGTGCAGTCCCCCCGCACGCTTTGTGAAGTTGAATCTTTAACTACAACGTCAGTAGCAGGATGTTTCTTCTTGTCATGGATCCTAGCAGCGCCAGTATCGGATACATCATCACATACTGGTTCTTATATACCCTTGTAACTCCTTTGTAATAAACAGGATGATAAAAGGATTGAGTGGGCATGCTCCGGAGAAAGAAAAGCAAAAAGGTTTCGAAGATTAAGTGGACATCCGACAGAAGATGAAGATTCTTTCTCTTTGGCAAGTTGAGCCCCCGAGTAACTCTCTTCTGTCTCATCCTCGCCATGAACGATCATAGTTCCGAAATCACCAACCTAGCAACATGAGCCAATGCAAAGCTGAAGATGATGCGCTTTGAAAACCATGATGGAAGAGAATTCACAACAGCATATCCAAGCGTGTGCTAACTAACAAGGCTGCTGAAGAAAACAAACATCACCCCTCAAGAGTTTACTAATGCACTCGACACAATTCTCATGATGGTCAGGAAATGCAAATTTCCAACTTCTAAATTACTACGTAACATGATAACGTATTGATGTTACACACATTAAAAGATTAATAGTATGTTTTATACATAGTCTCGTTTAATCTTCAACTTCTTACTAGGCACTAATCTTAATCCAATCGTCCAATTAGTGATTCTAAATATGAGGTGTATCTAAAGTGAATTTAGAAATTAAATGAAATAAAAATAAGTAAAGATATTTGTACAGCAAATTTTATTTTAGAAAACAAGACTTCTATGTTGTTGTAAAGACTAATGTGCAAGTATTTATTTCTTGAATTTTTTGGTTTTATTTTAAAAAATTATATAAAGCATAATTACTAATTTATAAGGTTGTAGATAGATTTTAAAGTTAAAAGATACATGTGCTACCACGAAACCCATCACCTTCATTATTTTGGCTTTACAAAATTTACTAGGTGTTTTGCCCGCACTTGCGGGCTTAATAATTTTACTAATATCTATAAACAAATATATAATCAATTTAAGTAAATTATAATAAATTATTGTGCATACACTCAAAACATTTAATAATAATCTAAACAGATTCTTTTTATATATAAAATTTTTCATCATCATATAAATAATTATCATTGCATAAATTAAATGTGAAATTCTCATAAATTTAAAATATTTAGTAATAAATTACTATGTTTTCTAGACATAACAAAAAGAAGTATAATAAAATTAACTTAAGTAATGTTTTGGATAACACAATATAAATTATCTATACATATATTCTTTGCAAATTGATTTTCTCATAATTAAATATATATTCAAAAATATAATTATTTTTCAAGGTTAATAAAAACTTTATAACATAATATAAAAAGTTAGATAAGGATAATTATCAAATTCATGAAATTCATTTTTAATTTAGAATTAATTATATATTAACAAATATAATTATTTTCAAGGCTGATAAACATAATATAATTTTTAAAAATAAGGATAATTATCAAATAAATGAAATTCGTTTTTAATTTATAATTAATTATATATTAATAGATATTATTATTTTTCAAGGTTAATAAAGACTATAACCCAATATAAAATAGTTTTAGATAAAGATAAATCTAAAATCAATTGAAATTCGTTTTTTATTTATGTTTAATTATATATTGAAATTTTTAATTATTCATTAAGGGTATAAACGATATTAACCAGTGTAATTTTGAACGTGAGAACTCCATTGCGAAAAATCACTTCACAAATAATAGTATAGATATGTAATTCATTATCTTATCAAATATACAACCGAAGTATTACATCAAAATTACAACCACATAAAAAAAATCTACAAATTTTAATTCTTCAACAAGAAAAAATAAAATCTTAAGCTTCTTCCAGTCAACCCAAATATTGATTTTTATTATTTATTTTAAGTTTTAATGGATTATTGGTTGAAAATAATTAAACTTTTTTTCGTACAATCCATCTTTACTTAAGAAGTTACATAAGTTTTATTATTTATTTAGTTTTTTTTTATTAAGTTTGTAAGATTCTTACAAATTAATTTTTTTTTTGAACTAAATCTCATCTAGATCTTATGATGTTTCCTCAAATGTGTTTATCTTAGATGTTGTGTTATCATTGGTCGTATTTAATAATTAGAAGAAAAAAATAATTCCTAACAATATAAGATACATTATCTTTTATTGCATATATAACAAAATCTTCAAAAAAAAGAAAAAAATATTAATAATTTAAATAATAAGAGATTTATTTCAATTTAACAGTTTGTATTTAGATATGTATCTTAAATTCAACAAAACTAGATTTGTATCTATCTTTGAAAATTTATAATCATTAATTAGTTGAAAGGAATAAAGACTAAATTTTGCTGATAAAATCTGTAAAAAATCACTAACTACATCGAGTTCAAAGTCTAGTAGTCACGACTCATTAGGTCAACGAGAAAAGGAGATTAAATAATTAAAAGAAAAAAACATAAAAGCGTTCCAAAACCAAACCCGAAACCAAACCAAAGTTGGAGTTCGGGAAGAGAAATAATAAAGACCGACCCTTTGTTCTTCTAAATATTTAGCTTCCTTTTGTGTTAAGCAGAATCTGTCTGCTTGGGAGCCCTCTCTAAAACCCTATATAAAAAGCACCTCTCTTGCCTCCTCTTCCTCATTCACAAATCTCTCTTTTAAACCTAATCACCCCAAAAAAAAAAGCTTCCACCTTTTTACTTCTCCTCGGTTCCATCGTTCTCAGCCAGCCGCCAGGTCTCTAAATCCCAATTCAGATTTGTTCAATCTGATCGAAAAGGGTTAGCTTTTCTTGTTTCTAGGGTTTGATCTAGGGTTTTGGATGTGAATATTGATTGGTTTTGATCTGAATTGAATTTTTACTTGTGTGTAGAGAGAGAGAGATATGGCTGCGGAGGAAGGTGGTGGTGTTGTTCATGCTCCTCACGAAGTAGTCTCTGAGGCTTTTGTTGAACAGTACTATCATCTAATGGGAAACGCCACTCATGAAGCTCATAGGCTTTATGTTGATGCTAGCGTTATCACCAGACCTGGTCCTGATGGTACCATGCTCTCTTTTACTTCCCTCGAGGTATTAATTAATTTCACTCTGTTATTTACTTGTTTAGATCTCTAGGTTATTAGTATTAGACACAAAGTGTCCCACATCGGAAGTTGGAAGGGATTCTTAGTGATATATAAGATAGATGGGCCAATCCAGTTATTACCAATTGGTTTTAAGTTGGAAGCCCATCCAGCTTAACATGGTATCAGAGCCCACGATCCACCCAGTCCAACCCGATCCATTATCGAACCAGCCCAAAGTCGGCCCATCGATCCTTGCCCGAACATTCCGAGATTGATGCCAGAGAGCCATCATCTCGAGGGGGCGTATTAGACACAAAGTGTCCCACATCGGAAGTTGGAAGGGATTCTTAGTGATATATAAGATAGATGGGCCAATCCAGTTATTACCAATTGGTTTTAAGTTGGAAGCCCATCCAGCTTAACAATTAGGTCAATGTTGCTGCTCTTCTTGTAGTATGTTGGTTGCTTTTACTAAACTCATGAGATATTTACTCTTACATTAAATGCAGTTTTAATCATAATGGTTTGCTTTACTTATTACTGTTGTGTGAAACTAGTTATGATTGTTAAAACCTGAGTTAAGACTCTTGTCTAAGCGAGAGACTTGATATTTATATTGATCATCTTGTTGTGGTTCCAGGCTATCAAGAAGCACTACCTTACCTGTGAATATAAGGGAACTACATACGATGTGCTTAGTGTTGATTCTCAGAGGTCGTTGCAAGATGGGATTTTAATTGTCGTTATTGGTTTGTTGACTGGTAATGATAACCTCAAGAGGAAGTTTTCCCAAACGTTTTATCTGGCCCTTCAGGGCAATGTCCATGTTGTCGTCAATGACATGTATCGCTTTGTTGATGATGAGTCTTCCGCTCAAACAACTGTTCCAGCTGTTGTTGAATCTGGTATGTTGTCTAAGTCTTGGTATTCATTAAATTGAAAGAGAAGATTATGTTCATATTCTTAAAATAGATGATGAGAACTAACTCTTTAAGGGATTATAGTTGCTGTGCCAGAAACTGAAGTGGTGAAGCCAGTTGTTGAGATAAACAAGACCAAGCCTGTCCACAAAGTCGATACTCCCGCCACCAAGAAGTCTGTCAATGCTGCTGAGGTCAAGAAGGTTGTTCCTGCTTTGGAAAAACCTAAAGAGCCAATTACTGAAACTGCTTCTGCTGCTGCTCCTCCGGTTGATGGAGGCAAGAAATCGTATGCTGCGATGGTGAGTTTTCTGTCATGCAGATTTGACTTTTTACATGTGACATCTATGCAATACTTTGTTAAAGTGATTGTTGTGATTACAGGTTCAATCATTATCGAGAAACACTGCTCCGTTCCAAGTTAAAGCTGCTCCCGCTCAGAAACCGAAGTCCATGGAACCAACCAAGGCGCGTGCTGCTCCAGCGTCTGCTGCTGTTGTGAAATCTGAAAAGAAAAGTGACCAGAGGATCATTGACGAACCAGGTTAGAAGGCAGAGACCACCATCCATTGTCTTTCTTGTCTGTTTTGAGATATCAGATGGTTAATTTCTTGCTTTTTGGTTTTAGGAACTTCGATATTTGTGTCAAATCTGCCAATGGATGCAAAGCCGCCTCAGCTCTATGAACTGTTCAAGGACTTTGGCCCTATCAAGCAAGGTGGAGTTCAAATCAGAAGCTCCAGGGTAATGATCTTTAATCAATCTCAGTGTCTTTCTGCTCCTAGTTTCCTTTTTTAGAGAAGCAATTCTAAACTTTGTTTCCTTATGAGTCCAGGCTAGTGGAAGGTGCTTTGGTTTTGTCTCCTTTGAATCTGTTGCATCTGTGCAGAGCATGCTTAAGGTAATTTACAAATACAATATTCTTGTTTCCTTTTTGAGCAAAAAACTGGTATTGACTATCAATTCCACAGGCTGCCAAGAGCAATCCCTTCAAGCTTGGGGATTACAAGCTTCGTGTAAAGGAAAAGCAAGTTGAGTTTGATGGAAGCAAACAGTCTGGTGGGAGAAGCGGAGGTGGAAGCAGGGCACAGAATGGCTCTGTAGATGAGAGCAAGACTCCTACTGGTTCGGTAGAGGAGAGCAAGACTCCGACTGGTTCTGCTGATGGAAGCAAGTCTGAGAATGGCTCTGCTGCAGGTGTGGAAGATGATGGCTTCCAGACATTCACAAGCCGTAGGAACAGAAGAGGAAACGGAGACAAGAAAAACAGTGGAGCTACTAAGGTCAAAGCTTGATAAAATCTCCTCCTGCAAACACCCAACAGTACAAGAAAGAGTTACAGTTTTCAAGCCTTTGATAGAATATTAATTGTTTGAAGAGAGATAAGGGAAGAGCTTTGATAATTTTTCGACATTATAGATTCACATCTCTTTACTTGTTTAGGTTTTCTTTTCTTACTCATGGAACTCATCATAGTTCTTCTGTTGTTTTTTTGTTTTCTTCAGTCTTTTCACCAAGACAAATTTCTATTTGGCATTTCTTATATTCCAGAAAAAAAATTATTCGAACGGTTCACCTCACCATATTTTGCTTATAGTGCAGACTCATAACATTAGAAGTTCAAAAGTATGTATTCTTGTTTACACCATGTCATAACTCATGGCTAAATCCTCAGAGTGCTTGTTGGATAAGGGACAGAAGGATCAAAGAAACCTTTGCTCATTCTGACCAACAAGCAGTTTTTCTTTTTTAGTCTTTGTGGTGAAAGCTAAAACAAACAAATACAGATACTTAAATCATAATTATCACTGAAGTTCCTCCACTTTTGTTTTGAAATTATCCGGACATGCATCTATGTATGCCGTGGTTTCATCAGAAAGTGGACAGTACTTTTTGTTGTTTCTTTTGTGGTTTATTGCAATTGTTTTAACTGTGAAAAAAACTCTACGGTCCTTTGTTAAATGTGAAGAGGATCCTATGCTTCAAGCTTCATCCAGAAAATAGGGTATGTAATGAGATAAAGTTGCTTTTTGGGTTAAAAAGCTTTTGTTTCCATAGGTTCATCGCGTCTTTTTGATGTAAAACTTACATATGATATGAAGTCATGAGTTGCAGCAACTACATAAAGCAATTTCTGGAAAAGTAAAATCCTGACAGGAAGATGAATTTTGGGCTACAAGAAAGGTTGCTTCTGTGTAGCTTCCTTCATTGTAGTTACTAATTACCGACTTTATTAATTGTAGAAACTACTTGATAAATATTCCAAGAGAAACTCGAATCAAAGAGCATAATGGTTGCTGGCATCAGACCATCTATTAATGATGGGAGGGTATAGTATCATTCTCTCTACCTCTTCTTCCTGGAAGTCTCCTCTCTAGTTAATATGCTCATCTGCATGCCTTCATAGGAAATAAATTATGCACTTGTATAAAGCATACTCTATTGTGTTATTTGGCTGAAGTAAATCTATTTGTTGTTGTTGTTGTATTTCATCTATAGGTTTACTTACTAACCACTTTCTTCATATATTTTTTCTTTCAAACTACTAGGTTGACATTTAACTTGAACCTTGTTTTGGTTCACTATGTTTGTCATTGTCATTGATGTAAGTTTCTGAATCCAAATCCAAGCAGGGACGGGATAAGTTTTATAAGGTGAATGGGCTTAAAGACAGTTGCAAAAGTTCATTAATAGGTGTTGAGGTTGCATCATGTGAACACTATGTTCCGAGTAAGGTATCAAAGACTTCAGTTGAGTCATCTGTGGCATATCCTTCTGATTTGGATGTAATTTCTTGTAGATTAGACGGGTTGATCCCTCTCTTGGCATGATGGCTGCCTGAGAGATGACTACACTCATCTTGTGGTAAGCCAACTACCACTGCATGAAACTATATATGTCAAAGGTTTGGAAATTTCCATCTCACTTCTGATCATATCAATAATCACCTTATATTGATTTTTGGTAACACGGGATCCAGAGTGATGGGAACAGTGGATGCTGTCGAACCTCAGATTGGTCAGTGTAGAAGATCACTTTTGCAAGATCTTAATCGTCAGCTGTTGTTGAATGGCAGAAGCATTCGTAAAACATCTCTACGGACTTCCTTCAGTTCTTTCATTGGCCATGCTCCACACTTTATATTCTTCTGACCTCGCTGTTTCAATCTCTGTTACCCCCTGGTAGTAAGCAAAACTGGTTGTGATAAAACCATACATTGATAAGATCTGTTGACAAAACCATAACTGTGCCATCAATACAAGAATTACTGAGACATTTTTGTTCATCTTACCCGATTACAACCACATACCTTCGCACCAAAGTAATGTTGTTTTCTTTTACACAATTCCCTGGTCCCATAACTGGCTATATACATAGGATGTAATATTTTATGAGGTTGGTACGCTGAAGGATGCAATGTCCAATACTTATTCACAACTCGAGGTCAGCTATGAAAGCTCTTCAAGTCTTATTGATATAACAAGCAACTCTAGGAGTAATCCGTTAGTACCAGTATACCAATGTAACATGGTACTTGAAGCTTATTACATGTAGTCTAGTGTGTACATTTTATGTACTGTTTCCTTGATATCAAACCACACATGTGACTCAGGTAATGAAAGACTCGGTGCAATTTGATCTCCGGCATCATGTTTCTTTACTGGTTCGTCCAATGCAACATATTACCTTTTCCAAGTACTTTTTTTTTTTTTGTAACATTCCAAGTACTTAATTAAAATGAGTAAAAGAAGTGATAATTCTATTACATGTCTCGGTCTATATTTGGTTTATATCTGGTTTAGCCAGCCAAATTTGCATTGTAATCCGGTTCATGAATTGATTTTAACATATTTTTCTCTACCTGGCTTCCAACACTACGAAGTCGACTTGCAGAGAAGAGCGTAAAGAGGCATCACTGCATGATTTTTGTTTTGTTTTATCAGTTTAATAAAGTTAAACCTTGTGCTAACGTGAAGGTATATCCTATGATCTGTTCCATTGCGAATCAATCCCTTTCAAGAAAATAAATAATTTATGATGAGCTTTATCTGGTCTAGTGTCGCATCAATCAAGTATTGTAAAGAAACAAAGATAGATGTACATCTGTAATTAAAAGTAAATTAGCGGCTATAAAAAGAAGTAAATAAAAATAAATATAGCATTGCTTGGTAAAGAGAAAACAACAATTATGCGAATGTGACACCTCTCTGGTCTCCAGGTTTGGATTACAAATCTCTTACACGTCAACGATTTTGCTAGATTTGATTCCATTCCTTTCTCCATCGTTTTCCCACCTACCTTTTTTCCCCTAGAATATGTGTCAACATAGCTTATTTTCCAGGAAATATTCTTTTTTAAAACTATTTCCATAAGATATTTGGACTACCACGAAACTATATAGAATATGACCATAAAGTTTAAGAGGATAAAAAGGTAGAATATCATCTTATAATGTTAAGAATCCTTTTTGACAACTGGTGATTGTATTCATAGTTGTTAAGGATGTAATCATAGAAGTTTATGTTTCTGGAACTAAAGTCTATCCTAAGAAGTTGGATTCATAAAATAATGTTCAAACATTTTTGGAAAAAAAATAATAATGTAAATAACAAAAGTATTTAGAATCCGATGCAACAATATAATTATGCATAATAGTAAGTTATTACTTTATGTTTTAGGGATTTTGATTTAGGTTAAAAGACTCGTATTCTTCTTTAAATAAATACTGATATACATTAAGGGAAATGACATGGAAAATTAATCTCAAAGGACTATACAAGATTTTGAATGAAATGAAAAAATTCATTCGAACACAGCAAATTTCAATCTTCACAGCCAATTCTTATTAAAAATCTCTGTCTTTTAGTTGTAAATTTTGTGTTTCAAAAAAGTTTTACAGATAATCTCTTTTTCTTCTAATTCAACTCATTAAAATATTAAAAACTATAAAAAATAATTATATAAAACTGAATGCTACTTCTTTTAAATGCTCGTATATATGTCTTTTCGAAAATATATATAGAATTTTGTTACCGAAGATCATTCAAGTTACAATAGTGGTCTAATATTCATGCCTATAGCTAGTGTTCTTCTTTAGATTTCACACTTTTAAGACAAGAATTTGAGTTTTTCTTTGCACCAACCCAAAAAAAAAAGACTATATATTCATAATGTTGATCAAATTCTTCAAATATGTTGGACCTGCCTTGCCAATTAATAGTCGAAGTTTCACTATACTGAACGAGATTCTGGACTATTTTTTGTATGTTGACAATTGACCATTTTAGAATTTTCAACACTACTGAAAACTAAAGCATTATTCACGTTCTTTCGTTAAGAAGAAAAGATCATTTGGGAATTTATGATAATAATACTACAAGAAGTTGATCGGGGTTTCGATGCTAGTAGACACGCAATGATCCACACACCCACTTGACACGTGTTACTTGTCCGATCTCTGACATGGTTCACGTTCCCCGGACAGTTCCTTGAGGGCATTTTCTTTATTATATGCGGAGAGGGGCCCTGAGCTGGCGTGTGTGGGGACTACGTACCTTACTTATCGGTTCAAGCCAATGGGTAACCTTTAAGATTATAATACAATTATATTATTGTTTCATCAAGATCACGTTGGATTAGGGTTAGGAGACGTATTGGATCCATTAGAATTTTAAGACATGGATATCTAAATTGCAACTGTAACTGTTTAGCTCCATAACTAGCTCAAAGTATATTAATATATTCAAATCTGTCCCTAGAAATATCAAAGAATGAAATATCACATTGATTAAAACATTTAAAAAAAAAAAATACTGTCTGGTGGCGAATCAGCGAATCGCCCTGAGCTAACATCTTCCGATCATCCATGAGAGAATAATTCTTATGGGAAGGATAAACAAGCACATGCATGATAACATTTGAACACATCACCTATTGGTACATTCCGTACGTAGAATTTTAAACGAACAAATCAGTATTAGTATAAACACACATTAACGTCTAAAAGATTAACTTAAGCTGAACTACAAAACACTTCACACTTGTATATAACTCTAGTTCCAAAAATAATTAGTATTGTGCCGGAAAAAAAGGTATTGGTATTTAGGACTGTATACGTATATTGGAATGTTACACAAGTACTCCTCCACATTGTAGGACCTGATTACGATGAACCTTAGCCGTTCCTCTGACTCTGACTTAATAGCAGAGGTACACGTGTCAAGTACACTTTACAAAGATACGTGTCGAGTTCCCATCTTTTACGGTGAGGACGACACGTAAGTAGGCAGCGAATAATATAAATTTTTAAAAATGGCATTGTTTTTGCGTTACAAAGGAGCAATAATTAAATAATAGGGCAAATAAGAGAAGGGGACAAAGAGATTAAAAAACAATAATTTGAATTACAAAATATACTTCTGTAGCCGTACGAATACGTGTCAACGTGAGGGTTCATCTGATAGCCACTTGGCTAATTTCTCTCTGCTCTCTGTACTTTTCATTCATTGGCTATTCTCGTCATTTTCTTTTCTTCTACGTGCCCATACATTTATTTAATATATTTTATTTAAATAATAAATTGTAAATGGTAGGTTATTATATTTTCAAACATACTCAAATTGATTATTACAGTTCCTTTTTTGTTTGATAAAAAGATTTAAGCAAAAGAATAATCAGGAGGGGATGTTAATGGTAGTTTGATCTAAATGGAAGTGAATATTCCGTGTTCCTTTGTACTGAGAACTTCAAGTTCTCTTGTGTCTGTCTCATTCGTTGAATGTATATTTTTTGGTCTCCCCATTAATTAAGAAAGTAATCAACAGTAAGCAAAACAATATGTTTCCTTTTATTTTGCTAAGGAAAGGAATCAAAAGACAGAAAGCTATGATCTCATTATTCTGAGAGATATATATTGGATATGAGTGGGATCAAAATCTAATCACTGTTACATTATGGCGGGAGCAAACGAGAGAAGTAGAGAGATTGGTAGATGCAACAGCTGTGTGTTCCCAAGAGATCTGCTCCAGAGATTCATCTCTAACTCAGCTCCTGAAGATGTTGAAGAAGAAGATGAGGAGATAGAGTTGAATCTTGGTTTATCTCTCGGCGGGAGATTCGGAGTTGACAAGAGCAGTAAGCTCGTGAGATCTTCCTCCTCTGTCGTGGCGAAGATGCCTCTTTCCCGGGAGCAGAGTCATCATCAGCCTGTGGAGACTTTGGTAGGTTTGACGAGAACGACGTCGTTGCCGATGGAGACGGAGGAAGAGTGGAGGAAGAGGAAGGAGATGCAGACTTTGAGGAGAATGGCGGCTAAGAGAAGGAGAAGTGAGAAGCTTAGAGGTGGAAGCAGCATCAAACCAACCGAAGCTGTTAGTAATCCGGGAGAAGGTTCGAGGAAGAGAGGTAGACCGTTGTCTTCGGGGCTGCCACGGTGGTC